TTTGACTAATATAAGTGAAGAGCAAATCCTGAAACTAGAAAACAGAGCATGCGGATTTTTTGGTGGGAGCCTCTCTACAGGCCAATGTAATGGCTGTGAGCATGAAACACTAGCTCACTTGAAAAACAACAAAACGACGGGGCCTGATTGGTTGCCGACTGAGCTATTGAAATACGACGGCGAAAAACAGACTACGGTTGCAACTTCAACCTTGGCTAGACCTGGTAAATCCACCATTGATATTCACCCTGCTCGAAATCTTGGAATACACCTATACTAGTGAAAAGAGAAGCGACACAACAAGTTGATTCTTTATTGTGTGACTTCTTTAATTTATTGCTGGAGACAAAATTACGAGCTGCATAGCTAAATGGAGAAGGTCCAATATTCTATAAGAGTGGACGCTAGAAGTTTAGCGACCGATTTATGTCTATTTGCATACCAGGGACGGCGAGTATAATCGTCGATGAGATTTCACGAACAGCACCAGCAGCTTGTACCCAACATATAATGCACTTGTGCTCGGTAAGTGAGCACCCGAGCATTCACACGTACGCGACACGCACCAAACACAAAGTTGCGAAAATTCAAACACTCGTAAATTAATGCGCATACAAAACGTGCAATACCAAAGTGGGTCACTTGCGAGGCGAGTTGCTGTTGTAGATACATCCAATCCATTTTTCAGGGAAAAACACACACATTTTTCTCTGGCTTATGTAAGTTCACACATTTTTTCAAAGTTTATTCAAAATTTTGCATTAATTAAAAGGCATTTGTTTGAAAACTCAAAATGCCTTTTTCTAACGTGAAAAAATCAAAATGAAAAGATTAAATTAATATCTAATACAGATAAACTCTCTTCTCTTATATGTATGTATATATGTAAATATATTATATATGTGTATGTGTATGCACATAATTGCCAGTTGAACTCTAGACCAGCACAAATTGGTCTCTGTACTATGATTAAATGTTTTAAGGTCTAATTTCCTTGATAGAAACATCGAACATCAAAACATTCAAGCTTCGAGTGCAGCAAATTTTGCGGTTGTTGCAAGTCTGATGCCATTACCGTTATTTCGTTATGACGATCTTGATACAATGCTAGTACTTTACTGAAACAAAGACACAATACACTCTATATGCATTATATATATATATATATATATGTATGTATAAATACTCGTACTCGCCGAGAGCAATATTAGTAAAAACAATAACAACTCGCTGATGACGTAATCAAAGGTCGGTCGCTGCAGTTGTGTGGCGCTTTTCATGCTAAGAAAAGTGAAAACTTCAACCAAAAAATCGTAGTGCTGCTGTTGCCACTGCCGCTGCTACTTTTGGTATTTGTAGGTAATTTAGTGTAGCTAAAGTACATATTACAAAATGATTACAAGTGCTAATTTAGCTAATTACACATTAAAGCTATGTACAGCTTATGTACATACAAATGCCGAGGAATTGTCGTCCCCTTGTCTTTGTTGCGTTCGAACAAAGAGTTTGTTTATGAAGAAAATTTCCCTCTTCATGAGTTATTAAATACTTAGAAAATCGTAAATTATTGCCGAAGGGTATAAAAGCTACAACTTCCGTACCGTAGTGAATGACAGACCACTTACAACAGGGTTAGGTTCAATTAAAGCGTTGCGTTTAAGGAAAATAAAGAAAGATAAGGGTGAATAGAGAACAAGAGTGGAAAGGTCATGGCCCAAATATCAGTCTAGAAGGAAAATTAAGGCGGTTTGCAGTGAACGAGGCAAAAGTAAAGAAAACGTCACCACGTCCCTGTTGACAGTCACAACTTTTACGCCTGAGCGATTTTCGTGTAATCAGCAAACAAGTGAGCCTTGAAAGCCAACACAGGATCACTCATGCCAACAGCTGCTACTCATTATTTCCACCTGCAGTTATCGTTAAGGAAGCAGAGGAAGACGTAACGAAATCACCTGAATTTCGCCCCGAATCTTCAATTTTGCCATATGCATCCAGAAATGAAGATTTTAGGGGCAGAACAGGAGATTAGCATTGCGAAGATTGAATATCAGGTAATATCAGGCTCTCAAAGTGTATGTCTTACATGAAATAAAACCTACACAAGATAATTTCGTCAGCCGTTCGGAGGTGGCCAAATTTCCACAAAATTGAGGAGCGGCTCGGCTGGACATCGCATTAGCGGTTGCAAAGCGCCAATTATATATTTGTTGTACGCCAAGGTCTAGCCTCAAAAGGTAGGTGCTTGATTTTCTTCAAAAAATGGCATGAGCTGTACGTAGATGGGTAGGGCTCCAATGCTAGAGCTAGAGAAGGATTTAATGGACTTTCTATGAAAAACATTTGAGATATTCTGTGTAATATTATGGGTTTGAGTTCATTAAATGATTAAGGCTTCCTTCGTACTTTCTCACGGTGTCTCCGGTGGCCATATTTTAGGCAATGGCTATTACTTTCCTCCGGCTCAGATAACTCGGTCAGATGTAACTCTGCATAATCCAAACTAATATTCTGATTTTAATTGTAGTACTCCTCCTTGAGGAATAAATTGCCTAATACCAGAGTATATTATCGAGACAGTACGATTTCCATCCCTTAACGCGGTTATAACCTATTTTCTGATATCAAGTAAGCAGTAAAAATTAAAAAATTGCCAACACAATACTAATTGCCAGCTTTACCAGCAGAAATGTAAATAAAAACACCGTGTATACAAACATACATACACAAAATCAAAAGTAATAAAACTCCAAAAATACTTATTGAAAAAAACCAGTCGAATTTCATATGGAATGTGAAGAAACGGGTTGCTCAATTGGATCAAACGAAGCAACCCACTAGATATATTTATGCATGTACAAATGTATATCGGTGCGTGTATTTCGGCATGCCGTGTGGCCATCCATCTATGGTGAGTGTGAAGCGTACGCTGTTTATATGTGATCAAAAAATGATAGCAAAACATAGCTATGTCGTCATAGATCACTATGTAGTGGATGAAAAAGAAGTGAGGTAAGATACTTCATAACAACAACAAGAAATGCAAAAAATGCCGTCGCCAAATTCCATACAACTCTGCGATCTGTTTTGCGGACTTTACACGTCAAACGCGCTGCTCCCCTTCTTATTGTAATTCCTATTTTTTATTATTTTCATATCTTTAAGCTGTGCACCATGCGAAACAAAGCCGATGGAGAAGAAGGAGCAAGCAAAGCAAAACTATAAATGTCTTACAAAGCGTGCATTCAAAGTCTCCGGCAAGCCAGCATGCATGCAACGCTTCGAACAAGTTGAGGTTGGCAAGCGGCTCATGTTAACGGCGGGAGCCGCTTACGAACCAATAACTCCGAACATAGCGACGTGACTTTATTAATTTTTCGATTTTTTTTAACTGCATCTTCGTTAGTGCGCATGCGCCACCAGCTGTTTATTGTTTGGTGCGCGGCTCCAGGTGATTTGTAAGTCGGACGGTTAAGGCTGCGCTCAGCTGAAGACAGTTCGATACGAACAGGCGCGCGCTTATGATCTAAACGCGGATGTAGCGCGACGGTAGGAAAAACGAATTAACGGTGTACGAGTGTGGTAAAGTGTGTAATAATTTTGATAATTTTCTTGAGCTCAGAAATATTGAAACAAATAAAGAAATAAATAAAAATTAAATATTTTTAATCGTGTATAAATCTTGGCTAAATTAGGAATAAACGAAATTCAAGTGATATAAATCCAATCGGAATAAAAAAATAGAATAAATAAAATAAAGATAAATTAAACAAAGAGCCTGATCAAAAATAAATCAAATTAAAAGAAAACAAATTCAAATTAAATAAAATAAAACAATATATTGTGAAATAAAATAATAATAATAAATAATATGAAAATAAATAATATCATATTAAATTAAAAAAATAAATTTATTAAAAGTTACGAAATTTATACTATAATCAATAAAATAAAACAAAGCAAATTTAAGCGAAATGAAACAAGTAAAATATAATAACTAAAACAAAGTAAAGTTAAACGATATAAAGTATAACGGAACATAATTTATAAGTTAAATTAAAATAAATCTAAGAAAACAAAGTAAATGAAAATGAAAAAATTACATTAACTATATTAAAATAAATTAAATGAAATTGAAACAAAAGAAAATAAAGACAATAAAATAAAGTAAAGGAATTTAAAATAAATGAGCACAAAATTAGAGAAAAAAATAGTTCAACATAATATCAATAATGTAAGAAAATATAAATGAATTGATTTAAAATAATGAAATAAAAGAACAACAACAATAATATCAACTAAAATAAAATTAAACAAAACAAAATTAAATAATATAAGCCAAATCATAAAATCACAAAGCATAATAAAATAAATTAAATCTAAAAGAATATAAAATAAATTAAACTAAGACAACATAAATATAAATAAAATAAAATCAACTAAATATCATGCGGTCTCAAAAAATACCTAAATTAAATGCATTCGAAACAATTGAAACAGCCAAAATATAATAATGAACAAGAAAAGAGGATTAACTAGGATTAATTATAAAATTATTATTTCAATATTTTTGCAATCAAAAAATAAACATGATGATATGATACGAAATCAAAGAAGAACATTTGTGTTCATCTCCTAAATTTTAGGAAAATATTTTGTTTTGTTTAACCATAAACTTACTAACGTGAGAAAAACGTCTTATGAGGCGTAATCAGTTTTTGAAAGAAAATATATATAACAAAACATAGAATGGCACAATGGGGGCAAAACTAAAAATAAAAAAAATATTTTAAAGGCGAGGAAATGGAAGAAGTTTAATGTCGTTTAAAAAAGTAAATAAAAACTGTATATTAAAATGAAAAAATTTTAAAATCCACTGTAAAATAAAAGAAGGTTTGAAAAATACAATTTTATAAATGTAAAACAATTCAATAGAAAGTTAAATGTGTGATCCCTAAAAAATTACTTAAAGAAGAATTTTTTCGTCTATTTTACAGCAAATGAGTTGTGTTTAAAGAGAAATTCCATACTTTATAAATAAATACAGTGAAATTATTAAAAACAAAAATATTGCAAAAACTAAGCAAATCCTACGAAGAAGCCCACACACACACACTTACACGAGAGTGTGACCTAAATTAACCAATACATAATTCAAATGCAATTCTCACTCAGCAACGTTCCGGCAAAACTGGCCACGGACCATCTTTGCTGTTGAACTCGTTTGCACAGCCACCAAAGTAGAGAGACGAGAGATACTCTCATCAACAGGACAAGTTTCACTTACTCTATGTCACTCGCAAGTGTGTATGTGTTTGTGTGTAGATAATAACGAAAATAAGTAATCAAGGTGTTAATAGACAACGCAAACAAAGTAAAAAACAAAGACATCAATAGATAGCAGTCAAAAACAGCAACAACAGCGATTACAAACAGTAAGTCACCAAAACTCATTTCAAGCCTACAAAAACTCAAATTAAGTCACTGGTAGAAGTACATGTGTAGAAATATACAAATATATCCATGAGTCTACTTGTTTGCTGCGGCAGTCACGCGTGCTCAAGAGTGTGCCATATGCTTGCAAAATAAGATTGTAAGAGCAAAGAAAAATAAACCACTTTAAGCTCCCATGAATGTGCAATTTTGCAATTTTTCCCATGTGCATGTGAAGTTGCTTATTGCTCATTAGTTTGTTGTGGCAAACCTTGCAAGCATTTTTTGTATTTCGTATTTTTTTAATTTTTTTTATTGCTATAATTTTATGCACTTTTCTTTTATTATTTTGATTTTATAGTTATACCTTTTGCTGCAGTTTTTCTTTAATGACAATATTAAAATTGAATATCAACTTGCCGCAGACTAGAAATGCAAAAAAATAAGCATAATATTTCGAATGATTGCGCGAATTTCCTAATTTTGTTTACAATTTTCCATTATTTGCATTTTTGAATTTCATTATATTTCTCTCTTACTGTTTACGTTTCTACTTCGCCCCAGTGAACTATGGAAAGTGCATGATAAGTCGTATGTGTCGAATATGTTTCATCGCCAATGCGAATACCGTTCATTAGTTTACCCATAGATATGCACAAATATCTGCAATATTACATATATGCTTAAACAAATACCAAAAAATTGCAGTGACTCTCGCAAAATGCATTCGCCCCCACCAGCAAACAAAAGACTTAAGCGACAAACTTGCTGAAATTTTTACAACTGCAAATGTACATACATATGTTTGTATAGACAATATAGATTACAGTTCATAATACCCACATTTGTCTTGCTATATGGGTTTATTTGCGCCAATTTGCATGGTTTGCTGAAATCGCAGTCGATGTAATGGCGCCAAAAACCAAAAGCAAAAGCAAGCAGTGAAAAACTTAATCTTTTTTTATTGTAAACGCTGTAGAGCAATAAAGTGAAAATGAAAGGAAATTATGTATTTAATAGCAGAGAAGGTAAATAGTTGTAACTAATGATATGTAATATGTATGGTGCAGCTCTGGTATTAAGATATTAAAAAAAAAAAACTGAGAAAAAAATGTAGTTAAAGAAAGCGAATGAGAAAAGTGTTAAAAAACAATATTCAAAAAAAAGTTATTTTATTTATACCATTTTTTCTTATTTAATTAATTGTTAAAGTTGCATTGTGTTAATTTTATTGTGTTTATTTTCATTTCATTTCATTAAATACTATTTTAGTTTGGTTAAGTTTTATTTATTTTTAATATATTTTGTTTAACTTTATTTCACTTTAATCTATTTAATTAAATTAAATTTCCCCATTGTTTATTCTATTCTATTCTATTCTATTTTTAATTTTATTTCAATATTAAATTTAAATATATTTTATGCTATTTTTTGTTTTATTTTAACTAATTCATTTTATTCTTTTTTTTTTTTTTTTTTTTGATATATATAAGCTCAGCGGTTCAAAGCGGGAATTATATTATGTTTTTTTTTTTAATTTTTTTTTCAATTTCAATTTTTTCAATTCAATTCAATGCTGTAGTCGAGCTAGCATCTTAGGCAAGCTGAGAATACACAATAAAAAGCTGTTGAACAAGAGTGACCCGACAGGAGGACTTGGCTTAACAGGTCTGAATCGTGCCATTAATCTACAGAAACGATGAGAATATATACCCACAATGCCTTGTGGTTGCATAGGGGGAATACCAACCTACGAGAATGAGGCAACAGAGTGTCGTGAGGATTGAGAACAATAAGATCGTGATTACGGTATACTGGAGAAATTATATAAATTGGTTGCTTTTGAGCTGGTGAGAGTGATATTCTGCCACCTGAAGGGCAATTGCACCCATCTCGTTAAAACCCTAGCAGGTCTTCCAGTGCGTTCACGACGTCATAAAATTGGATGTACAGGGCCAATTATGACAAACTGCTGATTAGCGCATGGCTGGCTCTGAACACAAGCTCCCATTAAGACTTGTGTCAACGTTCGCGTTACCGACCACCTGCAGACTACCACGGACCCTTCGACAAGGCGACTTGAACCAGAGACCCTTTGGAACAAATTGAAAACACCAAACCAAAAAACCCAAATAGCGAAGAAAAATCACAACAACAACCACCGAAGTAGCAGAGTTTTGCGATCACCTGTGCTACAACTAACAGCAGTCCCACAAAAGAACATCTAAAACAACATTTCAACTAAGCAGATTGATGGTCAACATCGGAGGAACGTCACAGGAAAAAATGAAACCTTAAATGTCGACAACACTGAACGTCCTGCTCTACGGAGCAAAGTTACGGCTGACTCATTGAGGACAAATAAACGATATTAAGTGCTGAAGTGGGACAATTGTGAATAATTTTGTTGTTGTCTCCATGTATTCCTCTATCGAGAAATGCAATATTTTGGTTTTCTGCTCTCAATCGTGAACTGGAGCTTCTTATCACGTTCGTTAGGATAATCAAATATTATAGCGAATTTGTCATCTATGTATTTTGTCGCGAATTCAATGTCAATATTCTGGCATGTTTTTAGATTTGCAATTGTTGGAGAAAGTGGTTTTGAACATGTAAAAGTTGTTGGCCTTGAGGCAAATTTCAGGATTTGCTGAAATTTATTTTTGGGTACCACAAATTGCGGAAAAGTTCGGCCGGAAATCGCTTCAGCGGTTACAAAGCGTCAAATTATATTATATATGCTTGTAAAAAGTGAAACGACATCAAATATACTAAAACTTCACGGTCACTAATATTAACATCAGTTAATTTATCTTTCAGTTCGACTGAATGTTTAAAGGGGGAACCCGGTTTAGAGGGTAAAAAAATCGATTTTTTGAAAGTTTTCTTATTCGATTAGAAATATATTCAGATATAGATTATATTTCCACAAAATTTCAGAGTCAAATACCTAATCGTTCCGCAGAAGTGGCCTCTGAGAGACAACGCACTCAGGAGACTGAGCGCGAGAACTTTGAACGCGATTTTTTCAAAACAGTGTTTTTCCGTTTTGTGCCCACAATTAAAAAAGTTGTAATTGTCACACTTTCATAAGTGATACCTTTTTTATAGCTAATAGTGTAGGCTTCTATGTGAACCTAAAAAATCACAATAAAAAAATTTTTTATTAATTTTTTTCAATCAATTATCTTAAAATTTCTTCAGAAAAACGCAAAATTTTTTATAAAAACGTCAAAAAATAAATAATTTTATACATTTCTTCGAAAATATTAGGTTCACATAGAAGAGCAACTCCTAAGCTACTAAAAAAGTATTTGTTTTTATGTTTCAGATGAAAACTACGATCGCTATCGTGTTCACAAAATAGACTCTTCGAGCGTGAAGTGCCACAAACAAATACGAATTGTTATTGCTTAACAGTATCAAATAAAGTGAGATTAAATTTTTTTTGCAAGATTTGTGTATCTAAGACCTATTTCAAAAGTACTTGAAACATTTCATACGTAAGTCAACCTGAAAAACTGTACCGAAATGCAAATGCATGCAATTTTCAGCGCTCTAAACCAGCCCCCCCCCCCCCCCCTTAATATTATGTTTTTCGGATATTAAAGATTTCAGTTTATCTCCGATATACTTTGAAAGTCTATAACAGGGGCCATGACTGAAAAGTGATCGGTCGCTTTTAAATATTCTCGCTGGAGTTTTCCCTTGCGGATTCGGAAATCCCCCAAGAAAAAATCCGCCAATTCTAAATGCACAGGGAGAATGATTTTTTGGGAGTAGGGTTTTTTCTCTTTCGTAATCAGCTGCTTAGAGTTTTGGTGTATTATTGACATTTGATAATTTGGTGAAGCAAACAATTTTTATTGAAAACAAAAATTAAATTAGAATTTTGGATACTGTTCTACTATATTTATTCGCTCCTAAAGTAAATGAGGAGGAATGGCAACGAATTCTCTTTCAAAGAAGATAAATTCTATACCAGGGCAAATATCCACGTCGTTTGGCAAGGTCTCCTGATCTCAGGTAACACTTCCACTTCGCTTCTTCGAGAGGGTACAATTTACGCCCTGAATTAGGGCCTCCGCCTGTCGTGTTTTCCGGCTTTCATGGTTTGAGCCGCTTTTTGTCGCACGTATTTTTCCGATCAGCCCTCTCCTAAAAGTGAAATGCGTACTTAAAAATTTAAAAAACTAGTAACTATAATTGCGCCTTTACACGTTGTTTTTGACCTAAAGTAAATAGAGGAAATCCGCAAAACTTTTTGTTCATGATAGGAGAACAGGGAAAAGTGAAAAATCTACCCAGGAGTTTTCATTGAGCTTAGCATAGGTAATCCATAAAGTCGAGGACACGGTTGCTGCAGTGTTCAGAAATTTCTGCTTAATTAGTTCGCCTATTATTTTGTTGATTTTCCTCTGGAGAATTTTTGTTGGGTGCGTTGGAATGGTTTTGTATGTGTATTTGTCTTTTAAGAGTGTGTTCGTCTGTGTACTATTTTATTTGTCGGCTTCTGTAGTCCCCACGTTGTTGTGGAATTTCAGAAGCGTTCTTGTTTTGCTGAAAGCAACTAATCTGATATAAATCTATTATAAATTTATGTTATTTCTCTTATTACATTTCAAGTACTCAACATATAGGGATATACCAATAATACAAATAAAAGTGAAAATGAATAGAATCTTACATACATATGTTCATAGGCATTAAATATTTACGTACAGCTGACCTAGTGTAAATGTCATTGATGTCTAAACTAAAGAAAAATTGAAGTGATTTCGGGCCTTTAGCTCGTTTTGGCTTCCTTAATTGAGGGTTCAAGTTGAATGTTAAATGCCATGGCAGCGATTTAAGTGTCAACATGGATATTATTGTATATGTAGAAGTGTGTGTATGTTATTGAATGTTGTTGTTTTCAACTACGGCAACAGCAATCCACAATTGCTCAGCTGTGACTGCGCAGGTGTATTTGTAGGCGGTGTAGATATATATATATGTATAA